ACGAGAATAAATTCCTTGGTCGAATGTAAAAGGATTGGTTTGTTACATTTATAACAACGGAGCAGATCGAAACACGGTTTACTTTAAACATGAAAAAACGTGAAATTGACTGATCTCTATCCCGAGAAAAAAAAATCGGCAAAGAGCGAAAGCAGCGACCAGCATCTCTTATCGCGACAAGCGGTTTTTGCGGATGTCTTGACACGGCCAATGCCCTCGGGCGAATCACGAAGTCAAGCAAACAAACGAAATGTTTGAGGAGAGCCGCCATTCCTTTTCTCCCTTGGCGCTCGTTATTTTTTCCTTCGACGCCCTTCGACTGCCATCCACCGTCGAGCAGGTGGGTGAGGAAAGGAGACCTTAAAGGGAACAAGCGTGCCGAGGAGTTCGCGCTAAGAATAGAGATACGTGGTGAAGAGGGAAGAAAAAGCGTCATCGTTGGTGAAAAAAATCTGAAATGCGTCGGGTGACGTTGCAGTTATCGCGTCGGTGCAAAGATCGAACAGGTACACCACGGCTCGAAATTGTTTAAACTTTCTCGCCGGCAGCCGTGAAGCGCTTAATCGTAAAAATACATTTTTTAAACTGCGTTTACCAAGAAACCGGCGAATCTAAAAATTTCATCGGCGACCGAAAAGCCTCAGGCTCGCCGCGGCGTGGGTCGAGAGGAAGGAACTTAAAAAAGTTCTCGAGACTCCGCAGGCGAGAAGGCACTCGTGGAAATAATATCCCGCCAAACTTAACGCGATCTCGCTCGTTCGCGGGTTAAATTACATTTGCGAACGAATGCGCGCGCCGTTTGTTCGCGAGCGTCGAGAGAAAGAAACGCCTTCGCGGTGCAACAATGATATTCGTTCATTTCGCTTCGCACGTTTTTTATCGCAGGTTCGTCACTTTCACACCGAGGATCCTTTTTAATTTCTGTTTCGAGCTCCAGATGATTTTAGCCGTTGAAGAGTTGTTCGATCTGGCGAATAAAAAGATAGAAATTTGTAGGTTTTCGGGGGGGGGGGGGGTGGCAGAGAGGGGAGTCAAGATTGATGCAATATCGCGTTTGAACGATCACAGTACCGACGGAAGTCGGAGTTTGTTTCACAACTCGAAGTTCACGAGGAGATCCGTTTACTTATGGAAGCTGCTCTCAAATATTTGTTTACCCTTAGCCGGGTGAACTTGCCTGGCGCGCGTAAAATCGATCTCGAAGGCAGGATCGAAAGCAAAAACCGGAGTGCTTCGTTGGAGACTGCTTAGCTAACTCCAATATTTCGCTTTCAATCTATTTATTTGCGTAGCGCGAGGCACCCGTCGAACGCGATTGCATTTTCTTCCCCGTCGTGGACACGAACGGAAAGTAAATTCAACGATACTGGTGCATCTCCTCGCTTTAATCTACGATAAATAATTGCAATTCTTTTTAAGCGGACTATGCATTTTTCAAACGACGGGATATTTTAATTGTATCTCAATCGGTTCTCCGAACCTTTTGAAAGAGTCCAACGATTCTCCACGAAGCGTTAACAAAGAGTAGATTGATGCACAACGAAAGACACGCCGGTGTCCGAAACTGCGAATCGGGACAAGCATGGCCATGCATATGTAGATGCGATGCATCTGCATTGCAGATTTAACCGAGCGGAGAAAGAAAGCGAGCTCCGATCTCACGGCTGCGAATTGTCGAGAAGCTGTCCCCAGCCTTCTCCTAATTTGCAAAATTTTCTCTGTCTCTGTTCGACGAATCGAATTCGTATCAGCGAGAATACTACGTTTCGTAGAATAATATCCTGATCGCGTATATCCAACGGAACCGTAAGAATCGTATGGAAAAGACCAAGGGAATATAGTCGGAAACACGAGCGACTGAAATGACCGAATGATTGAATTATCACGGTAACACTGTTGCAGTAAGAAACAACAATCGGTACGAATCAGTTTTGCTAACCTGTCGTATGATTTCCGTCCGAGAAAGTACTGCTCTCGGTACTTTATTCGGGCAGCTGCCTCTGGCTCTCCGTACACGGGATAGTGGTAATGAACCGAGGGGCAGCCGCTGGCTGTCGGCCAACGAAAACTCCTGCTAGAGGCTCGAACCCGCCTCTGACACTATGAGATTCCTAATCGCTCGTCGGCGAAAGAAATCGCGAGTCGATTTTTACGCAATCGGTCAGTACCATCGACGAACTTGAACGGAGCAGTTTCACTGTCGTCTGTCAGCCTGTTGTCGTCCGGGAACGGAAAGGCGTTATTCGAATAGCACTCGTATCGCTTGCGAGTATCGGATTTTGTTATTTATATTGACTTTAACACGGATCGAGGTGAATATGGTGCTCGCTCGGCCGCGGATCGCGATAAACTGAATAAACAATACCACCCGAACAGTCCACCGGCTCAATGACTATAGGACCGCGCCCCCACTGGCCGCTCTATTAATCTCACCCAATCGGAGGGTGAATCGAAAATGTGGGACAAGTTTTGAAGAACCTATCCGTAAAACTACGAAGCTAAAAACGGTGTACCTTTTAGGGTACGAAGATGGACGAGACGAATTTTGCTGCTTGTTTTTGTTTAACAGACTCCGAAGAAACAACCGAGAAAGAATGAGATTTCTGTGCCGAGGAACTCGAGGACGAGAGAGTAACTGTAGATTGTCACTGTAAATGGATGTCGATAGGTAAATTGGAGCGAAATAGAAGCGCGTTCGGAGTAGAAAGCGAAATGTATTCAAGATATAATGGGCTACTTGAATAAATTGACCAGTTCGGTGAATCGTAAGCGCGGATAACCGCTGGCTGCGATTCAACAATTAAAGGCATTGGTCCGGAAAGTAACAGCGATCGTTACTCGTCATTAGACTTCCACGATAGCGAAGCATTCTCCGGGCAACGTCTTTGATCTCCGCTAATAAAATACTGGCAGCCGATTAAAATAGCTCCGCGGTTTACCGAGGATAATTTCGATACTGGGACGCTTTGTTCAAGTACGTTCTTTTTTAGATCGAGTCAAGAGAGGAGACCGATTCTCGAGGGTTTCGTTTCAGGTAAACAGAAAACGCTGGATGCAACGTTCCTCGAAAACCATCGACTCGTCTCTGAAAAGGATCCTCCCCTTAGCAGATAATAGTAGTTGAACGCTACATTAACCAAAAGGTATCCATGATGAATCGAACGACGTACTCAGAAAATGGGAGACTGTTAAAACGGAAGATGCTATCTTCTCGATTACTTTAATTAGATACGTCTTTTTATTCGTACGCTTCTCTTTCGTTCCTCCCTCTTTGATTTCACGCGAATGGTCCACGAGAAGCGCAAAAGCATCTCGTTTATCCTGGTATTTGAAAATAGTTACAATCGATGGAACCCAGTCGTAGCGTCCGGCAACAGTCATCGGAATGCGCCATGAACGACGATGCAGCTCGATTCGAACATATTGCGAAATATTTCAGCGTTACGTTCTCGCGATAATAAAAATATTTCGCACCGGCGCGGCGGCGCGGCGAGCTGTCTGAAACTCGCGCGACGGTCGACACGTTAAATTGGAAAATTTTGATACACGACGAGCTAAGAGTACCACGTAAGTGTGCCACCGGGACACCGTGTATTACCAGCGCGTCACGCCAGTGAGAATAAATCGCCCGACTCTGGGAGACACCGCTTCGCTTCGCGACGCGTTGCGCCGCGGCCAACTAACTTTTCATCGATTCCGTTGACGAAGGAAATCGTGACTTTCCGTTCTCGACGGAAAATACATCATCGAGAGTTGCCAACGTCCGATGGGAACGATTTTCACCAAACGGAAATTCAACCACGAGGAAAACGCCCGCGACGAATCCACGAGGAAACTCTCGCGATGTTTCCCGATCCCTAATCGAACGAGGACACTCTCGAACGTTATTTAAATTAATCGGTGCTGTTCAATGACGAGTGCGATTTGTGCGATTCGATAACAGAATAGATAGAATTGGACAAAAATAATGCAGAGAAGTTATCGAGTTGGCATCAGTCTTCCGAATATGTTGTTGTCCATCTTATTTCAGGCTTTATTTCGTATTTCTCACGACTATGAATAGTATAAGAGATCTTGGCATCTTGGTCCCTCGTCGTTTAAATTCTACGTGTACCGTGATACGATATCGCGTTATTTAGAGAAGAAGACATTAGATCCGTGGAAGAAACCCCCATGAGAAAATTAATCACGATCCCCGGTTTCTTTAAGGTGAAATATTTGATATCCGCCGAGTAGAACAGTGCATACATCATTCTGGGTTTTAGCATACCGTGCGCGCACAAAAATCCCGCTGGGAGCTCGTCGCGAAACGTGAAATTTAGTAGCACGGATTTACGACGTCCGTATACATCAGCAGGCTAACTCGACGGAAAAGAGTGGTCGCATCTCGCTTATCAAGTGTATTAGAATACATTACCGTCTTATGGAAAGACTTTGACTAGCTAGGTTGTTACGATCGCGAATGGAGGACAATACCTCGGCCTCTTCGAATGTTTATCGCGTCACAGCCGTGGGTTCCGAGCAACCGGGTCCAAAGACAACATCCAACGATATCGATATCCACTCTACTAGAATAAAGTGAACAGCCGTGACGCGAATAGTGACACGGCTATTTGTGGATGAGCGAGAAGCGTGTGCACGCGAGGAAACAGGCGAGAACGTTTCGCGAGACGCGAGACGCAGACATGAAACGTCGTGCGTCAACCGTATACTTTCCCAACGATTCGAAGAGCATCCCGGAAATCTGACAAAATTTCCCTTGATCTCTGTCGTAAAGTAATATTAATCGTATCAACCCCTTAATCGTTCCGATAAGTTGCAACTGACTCGTGCCGGAATTAAAGTCGAAATAATTTCCAGCCGAACACGATAACGCCCGTCCCCGATAGCAGATTAATAACGCGAAGATAGATAGTCCAATACGAATGAGGAATCGCTACGATACGAGCGCCGCAATTGCTCGATAAGAGAACGGTAAATAAAATACGAGTTTCACTCACCCTCTGAGCCTTTCGCTTATCCGCCCGCTGATTCTGGTGATATATTCGGCTGAAATTACTGACGATAACAGGCACCGGTAAAGCGATCACAAGGACACCGCTAAGGGAGCATACACCCCCCACGATTTTTCCCGCGATCGTTTTCGGAACCATGTCACCGTACCTGAAACAGAACAAAATTACGAAAAGTTAGCATCGAAGAAATCGATACGTGAAAATATCGTTGAAATGTTCGTCATGTGTCATGCGTAAATCAGTTAATACGTCTAATCGCTTATCGTTTCACCCTGAATCCGATTACTTGTACCGCAAACGTCGCGGCCACTTGTGGTTCTAGATCGCGATGTCTGACCGTGACGCCTTATTCTACTGAAAGTGAAACTCGCGCCGATTCGCACGGTCAGTCCAAGCCTACCGCGTCTCGGCAATGTTCAGTTTGCGATAGCCAGCGTTTGCAACTCCGACATAATTAAACGTTTACAATGCGAATAGTAACATTCGGTACTTTGATTAAACGTTAATAACAATTACGGTTCAGAATAAGTATTCATTGTACACAGTAATCGTGAGAAATTTGTCAATATTTTAATATTTATTTATCGAACCAATTGAATATTAATTTTTATCATTAGTTAAATTAATTGTTAACAATGTTTGTTTAAACAGTACGAGTTTTTCTTTTCTATTTCCAGGTTATTTAATTATATTACTTCTGTAGAATCATTTGTTGATCCTTTGTCGCAAGTAACAGCGAGCTAATGGCTGGAAACTTGTAATAAGATCTTTAGATATTAAAAGTGGGTGCGTGGAATGCCGCGCGTTACAAGTGTAAGTCGATCTCGCGGGACAAAACAAAACGACATCGCGCGTGTCCCGGAAGGACTCACGAAACTGTGACATAATTCGATAAAGCGGACAGGGGGCTCGTGAACAACCACGATCGAGGATTGACCCTCTGGCGATGTTCCATATTACGCTCGCGACTGATGCTCGGTTTCGAGAGACTACTTAGAAAATAGCGACGACCGCCGCGCAAAAAACCTTGGGATCTTGTCGAATTATCACCGCACCGTGGATCCGATCCAGAATTCTGTTTTTCTCTTTCCGATCGGGAGAGACGAGTATCGAAGATTTATTTCTCAATTCGACACCCTTCGAATCGTACTTCTTCGCTGCTAAAACCGAAAGCCGTGCAAAATTTGTATACCCAACTTCTTTCTCGCGTTGATCGATTTCTTCATTAGACAAAATATGATGAGACCTAACGCGATCCTCCTTCGAGTAGCTATATAAATTCTGGCAGGTATATCTGCAAACCGACACGAGGTGTCTTCGATATCGTGTCCAGCAAACGCGAGAATAATTGTACGCGTTGTCCTCGTGGCTTTTATCGGCAGACAAAAACAGAGAACCGTTCGTGTTCGACGAAACCGATACCGCGATGGTAGCAAGGGCAAAAAGCTTAGTAATTGTCTCGATCGAAGCGTATCGAACGTTAGTTAAACTCCATTCGATTTACGAGTCCATTTCGAAAGCAATTCGTAATATTTTCAACGCGTTACACTTAACGCGCCTGAACAGCTGTTGGGATGTGTAAAAAATTCAATTCGTGGCTCGACTGCCCCTACTAAATCTCGATTAATGCATGTCTGGGAAATTGAAACAAAATTAACGATATCCGGATTACGAGCTTTCCCGAATTAATGAAAATTTCAAGAGCCTTGGCCGGGGATAATTACTTCGTAAACCGTGTCGCGTTCGTTCTCGCGAATAAAAGGGGGGTTAAAAGTTGGACGGGGTGGCAACCCCTGCGATCCCGACCCGATTTCTTTATCTGCTCGTCTGCCTTCTTCGTCGAACGAAACGCGGCGGTCGCGGAAGAGATGAACGAGAAGAGAAAACTACTTTTCCACGCCGACGAATCCGATCACTCCATTTTCCAACCTCCGCCGAAACTTCGACTCAGCGGAAAAATCCTCCCTTCGTTTTTTTCTTCCCATTATCCTGGAAACCACGAAATTCCCTGTGGGAGAATTCCGGAACCTCGAGAACTCGATGAATGTCGGAGGAACGATATACGCCTCACGAGGAAAGAAGACTTGGCGTTCGGTCGCGTTAAAATTTTCATTCGACGATCCTGTGCTCGGAAACTTCCCAGTTTCTTCCGTCTCGAAGGGAAATAAAAATTTCTCGCGTGGTCCAATTTCGGCCAATGCTATTGAAACGCAATTGTAGTAATTCGACAAAATTCCTATAAAATACAAATTAATTCGACGGCCTGCGAAATACTAGATTCGTATTATCGAAACGCGATTAATACCAACGATGACAATGTTCTCGGGGAATTATTTCTGACATGAACGCCGTACCCTCGCGTAGGTGTGCCGACGTGCATTAAAACCCATCGCGAAAATGACTTAACGAACTTTGGAAAGACGATCGCAGCGAGTAATTCGCTTAAAATGAGCTTCGCGACTCGGCTTGGTGAACTTCCCATCCCGAAAGCTCGCACGAAATATATCACGGCTGACACACTTTCCTTAGTGTTCTTTCGGTACAAATATAGCCATTTCAAAATTCGAATTGAAAGTACGGCTGTTAGTTTGACAATTTGATAAAGAGTCGGTGCATAAATCCTTGTTCTTTTTAGCAGGTAATGCGTTGGAAAGGCGTAGCTGGATATAGCAGAGGGACTGACGTCGTTAGCCCGACGGATAAAACACAATTTTTCCTCCGAGATAGAGCGAAGAGCATTCAAAGCTAAGTAACGGCTTACCGTCGTTAGATAGCAGCCATTGCGGCCAATTCCAAGGAAGCGGCACCGAAAACAGGAATTGTCTAAGCGTCCATGAGAGACTGCTGTTTTTACGACTGCTCTTTACGCGAGACTAAAAGTGCTTCAAACTTTTTACGATTCAACTACTCGATTCCGACCACGTCTGTACCTAACCCTTCGACCCGTAAGCGATGTCGGCTGTCGCATGATTGCCCGTTTCGTTAACTATCATGCGCGTATTTTACCACAGCAATAATAAACATGGACCCATCGATTAATTGCCATATCTCGAGCTCTTTACTTCGTCGATACTTAATCGTTTATTAAATAATCGTCGCGATCTTATTATAAAGGTATTTTGTCTAAATTGACGTACAATGGGTATCGTTACTTGTGAAAAGAACGATGCACTTATCCGTGCTTCTCGACAAAATGGATATATTTTTCATTGTTCGGAGCTGAACAATTGATCGTTCTTCTTATCTTCCGTTCTCGTTAATTACAAACTGAACGTTCATTGATTCTCGATAATCTGTTTAGTCGCGTCCTATTTTGTTTCATTCATTCTCATCGATGAGCGAAAATTCTTTTCGCCGAACAATTATATCGTAGGGAGCCAACCGACGCCGATCGGGGATAGAAATAAGACAATGCATCGGCTATAACAAACAACGAACTCGCGAGTGTAAAGCTAACTACAGGTAAACACTCGACGAGGGAGTCTGCAGACTAAATATTTCTGTAGCGCGTAACACTGAAGAGTCTTTGTCATCGAACCTATGCTTCAGACCGTATTGTTGCTCACCGAGCAGCAATAATAAGCTCCAGACTCAGCCAGAAACTCCGAGTTCAAGGAGAATGTTCCGTCTGTGGGATGGAGACGGCGTTTCGCGTTTGAAAGTGGTAGCCGGGACACGCGACGGCAGCGAGTTTAGAATCTAGCGAGAATGGTACGGATCGGAAGATCTATCTTTAGAAAAGCACGCATTGACGGTCGCCGCGAATACTTGCCTCTTAAACGCGCGTTAAACTTGCCTAAAAGTCGATTTAGCCGATAAAACGCCAATCGCGAGTAGTTGGATGTTCCGCTAACCGATCGAACTACCCCTTGATAATTGTCGAACCACGCGAAACTAAAAGCGAGCAAAAGGAAGCGTGCACGAGTAATTGAAAAACTTGGACAAAATTTAGTTGAACAGGTTTCCGATTCGATTTGTCCATGTTTCCGCTACAATCGTCGGTGATTTTCTGCAAACAGATTTGTCGAACCTGTAGTGATTTTTCAACGATCGCTAACGAATTAGTTTCGAGAAGCGATTTTTCGAAAAAGACCCTCGACGATCGGCAAACCCTCTAATTGAATCCTTCTATGTATAACAGCCAACAGCGAAGAGCGCCGAACAAAAGAAGGGAGTCCGATGAAGAACGATTTTTCTACGATCTTTCTCTCTACTTCCACTTTTTGTTCATTGTTCTCTATCGGAATCGTGCTAACAAGGATCGAATCGAATTGATTCGAATTTTGTTTTAGTGAACGAGAGGCAAAGTGCAAATCGTCGGGCGAAGGGTAGGAAGGAGACGGGGAGGATGGGCGGTAAAAATCGATCGTAAACCAAGTGTTTACTCCTCGTTGTCGGGCACCGGGCGCGTTTGATAATGCAACGCTCGATAAAAATGGAGTCTGGATTGCTCTCCTCGAGCTTTGTTTGCGAACGATGTTCATCGTAGAAGCCCGACGAGAGCGTCGCCGGCCCCTTTCATCGGCCGCAAATGGAACAGTCGCTGCGTCGACGTAACGAAAGTGTCATAAAATTAAAAGAGCCTTCAATGGAAAACATTTCCTGCGGGCATTGTTGCGGTCTCGTGTAAATGCAGCGTCCGACGGTCTCGATACGGATGGAAAAACGGCTCTGTCGCGGCACGGTTGAATTTTAGATGCAATCGAAATGCAAATACTCCTCCGGGAACAGCGAAACGAAATAATTGTACTGTTATCGTCGAAGAGTATCGACGATGCATCATCGAACGCGCCAGAACGATGTATCACCGCGCGGACATCGAGTTTCGGTATGCGAGACACAGCTAAGGATGACCGATCGTTTTACCCATTGATCTTCGTTCTTTTCGAGAGGATCTTCGATGCATACAAAAAAGAAAAACGATTGTCTAGGTTGCCAAGTACGGGTGAGTATACAATAAATCCAATAAATATTCGTACCATCTATGTCTATCGAAGAAGTTTGATTAAATCAATCGATAGTTTTCATATTGTCAAATACATTTCTCGTTATAAATATGTATACGAATAAGCTTATACATGTATATATTTATACAGACGTACAGTTGGAAACATCAAACCTGCCATTTAATTTAAACAAATTTCATCG